AATGATCGACATAGTTGTCCACTTGAGACCAAATTCCATTCCAGCGGAACCACACCTGCTTCCAAGAAACTTGAGTTTCATCACAAAAATCAAAACGTAAAGGACTAGCTTTCCAAACAGCCTGTGCAACAGGACAAAAACAAAAAAAGGTAAGCTAAAGTCTCATCTTTCCCCCACACACAGTGCATTCTGCGTTCTCCACTAAACCTCTCATTTTTAGATTGCGCAAAATAGGAAGACGCTCGTGACAATACTGCCACATGAAAAAATGAATCTTCCTAGGGGTCTTGAGCTTCCATAGACCCTTCCATAAAGGAATAAACTCCTGATCAATGCTACTACAGGACCTTCCTTCATCAGACCGAGAGGAATCCACAAAGTCGAATGCTACCTTATGAGCACTTTTCACAGTAAATCGACCATCAGAGGAACCACCAAAAATATTAATGGGAAGTGCAAGAATCAGCTTGGCATCTCGCTCATTAAAAGTGTGCTTGACTAAGGTTTCATTCCAAGTCTTAGAATCATGTAGCATCAACTCAAAAACTGTAGAAATATGACTGCCATTGTGGTTGGACGAAATTGTAGGAAAATTTGGATCTGGTAACCAGTTTTCCTCCCAACAATTGACATCTGACCCATCTCCAATTCGCCAATGCAAAGCTTTAGCAACAACACATTTTACGCTGGACAAACTCCTCCAAACCCAGGAAGGTCTAGAGCCACAACCAGAATCCAGAAGCCTCCCTCTAGGAATACTTCTGCTTGAAAATCCTTGAAAGTAGAGAGCCATCACCTACTTCAAGCCTCCACGCTATTTTTGCCAATAAAGCCATGTTGAATGCTTCTAAGTTCTTAAAACCCAACCCCCCTTCAGCTTTGGAGGCACACATCTTCTTCCAACTAATCCAATACACTTTTGATTTGTTCATGGACCCACTCCACCAAAAAGAGGTAAACTGACTGCGAATCTGATCACACATCTTAACAGGAATTTTAAAGCGTTGAGCAGCATAAATTGGCAAAGAAGCCAGAACAGAAGACAATAACACTTACCTTCCTGCTTTTGATAGCATCTCACCTTTAGCCCCAATCTTCTCAGATAAAAACTGCAATGATGCTGATTTGGATCGCTCAAAAATAGCAGGGACTAATCATGTATTATGTCTATATGAAATATGATGTATCCAATTGCTCTGAAATGAAATTAGTTAACCCATCCTTAACAGCTTACATACTGAAAAAACATATCCTGAAAAATGGGATCCACGATGTAATCTCAATCACTGAATTTTGTGCCGGACAAAAAAAATATTTATAAATGGATTTGGCTATTTAGACTTTTAAATATTATAATTTAAATATAATATATTTTTATGTAAATGAGATTGTAAGTGTTACTTTCAGATTTTTTTAACTCTGTCTTATTTACTAAACAAATGAGTCATATTTAAGATTTTAACCAGCCAAGTCTAAGTTGTTCAATGTTCATTTATAGATTTAACACCATCTAATGTAATATAGATTTTAACCAGTCAAGTCTAAGTTGTTCAATGTTCATTTATAGAATCATGTAATATATCCAGCCTCGATTCAATTTATCACATATTAGTAATTCGATTGCAACGTAATCTAATCAACCTTCTAAAAAATATTAGATTGAGGATGAGATTTCATTAAAATCGCATTAAAATCCGCCAATATCATTACAAGAGAAAAATTAAAAACTTGCACCAATGGCTTTTAATTTCCTCCCTTATCTCATATACCTGTTAATTTTAGTATTGTAATACAGACTCTATACATGTACTTGTTTATTTTCGTATTGTGATTTACTTCACCACTTAAACTAGTATAGTTTATGAAAATTTTCTTTTTGCATTTTTTCATGAGACACTAAATATCATGGTCTACACATGAATAACAAGTTAGTATGCTAATTTTTAAGAATCAAATTAGATGTGAGTATGAATCTTGCTGCTGTCAGGTGTAAAAAGGCCTTAGTGACCAGCATCAAGTGTTTTTCCTCTAAAATCATGGTCTATACTTGTTCATTTGCCGTGACCTTCATGGTCTATACTTGTTCATTTGCCGTGACCTTCATGCATTGTCGATTTGATAATTGACGGCCCAGAACAACATCAAAAGGTTGCTGGCCGGTGAAACACACCAAATATGTGACACACTATATTCTAAATACATATGTATTGTGTAATACATTGGATTAAATAGAATACATAGTAAATATAAAATGATACTAGAGCGTTAAAATTGAAAATAACACAAGCATTGACATAAAAATTTTAAATCCCTTTTAACTCATAGAGTACATTGTTCTGAGGATGGAAAACTAATAGACAATACTGGCCATTGGAAAATAAGTTTCAATATGATTAGCAGATATAGAAAAAAAAAGAAACGTTTACTCAATTTAACCATAATAATCAAAGTAGAAAAGTAATTCAGTACTACAAAATGTAATTGTTCAATGTTCATTTATAGATAATAATCAAAGTAGAAAAGTAATTCAGTATTACAAAATGGAATTGTTCAATGTTCATTTATAGATTTAACGACGATTTCGGAAAGGGATAGATCGATGTAAGGAATTAGGGTTTCTAACGGGTCTATAAAAGAGGTGGTGATCGAGTTAAAGGGAAGGGATCGGCTCATGTAATATATTTGCAGAATCAATTCAGTGTATCACATGATCACATCTCCAACTCAATTCAGTCTATCGTAGTTTTTAAATACTACTAATGCAATTGCAGCGTAATCTAACCAACCTTCTAAAAAATGTTGGATTGAGGATGAGATTTCATTCATTAGAATCAGCCGATACCATTAAAAGAGAAAAATGAAAAACTTGTTCTCCTTCTCCCTCTATGTGATTTTTATAATAAGTTTTTAAAACTAGGGTGTATAAAACGCGAATGCACCAATTGCTTTTAATTTCCTCCCATATCTCAAATACCGGTTGATTTTAGTATTGTAATATACGTGTACTTCCATACTTTTGTTTAGACTTTCTTTGTTGTCATCAAAAGTAGCTCAACCAAAATGATGATTATTTGCGAGGAAGTTATTACACACTTTGCTAGCTCATCAACAAATTTGTTCATTTTCGTATTGTGATTTAGTTCACCACTTAAACTAGTAGTTCATGAAATACATATGACATGAAATTTTTCATTTTGTATTTTTTCATGAGACACTATATCATGGTCTAGACATGAATGACAAATTAGTATGCTAATTTTTAAGAATCAAATTAGATGTGAGTGTGAAATTTTTATTTTTTTTTTTGGGTTAAAATGTGAGTATAAATCTTGCTATCCCAATCATGGTCTATACATGAATGAAAATGGCAAGGCTATGCACAATCAAATATGCATTCCAAGAGCCAGTCTCTACACCAGCTTGCCGATCAAAGGACAAAGCCTAACTCCCTCTAGCGGGCTCACCCAAACCATGAAACTAGATCCAGTCTAAGGTAAGGGCTGACTTACGCTTGGACAGCTTGAGCAAATGAAAATTGGGAACTCTTTCCCTAAGCTCGAGCTTTCTTTCACATGACAAATTTGCATGCTGTCAGGTGTAAAAAGGCCTTAGTGACCAGCATCTTTTAAGTGTTTTTCCTCTAAAATATTCTGTAATAACAATTGTTTGCATTGCCCAAAGCACATTTCTTAAGAATGGTAAATTTTTGGAATTTCGACTCATTAAGAAAGAACATCGTTGTCATTTTAATTATCTTCCTTAGCAATTTGTCCAATGTTTTGCAGTTGTGGCAACTTATTTACGCAATATGCGGTATGCATGTGCAAAAATGCAAGTTGATTTCTTAGAAAATCACTTAAAGAAAGGTCTAAGTTAGTAGCCAATATTCACTTTAAACCAAAACAACAACCCATTCCAGCCTTTTGGGCTAGAATATCCTACAATTGTAATGAATTTACAACTCTTTTTCAGATTTGGAGTTCTAAGCATAACCATAATAACCAGAGCAGAAAAATTCGTACTTCTTTCTTCTTTTAACATTAATACACCACCGTATATATTTTATTACAAATAGTGGTGATGTTTTTTTATAAGTCATTTAGTTATGATACATTCGAATCCCTCAAGTGCCCATATTTACACATGGTCATGGATTTTTATTTCAAAAGGTGACATGAAAATTTTAAATGCCTCTTTAACTTGTAAAGTCCATTTCTCCAAGTATGGAAACTAAAATACAACACAAGCAATCAGAGAATAAATTTCATTACGATTAGCAGATATATAACAAAAAGAAACATTTACTCATTTCACCTATAATAATCAGAGTACATAAGTAATTCAGTTTATTACAAAATGGAGTATAAATTATCCCAAATGTTCCTTCAAAACTTCAAAGCAAAATAAAAAATCACAAGAGGCCTATGCTCACTAAAGTTGCGCAAAGCAATGTATAAATAATTTTCTTGACCATGCATAGCAATAACTAGGTCTTATCTACATGTCTTCAGATCATTCAGGCCAAGTTTTCAACCTCATCAGTGTCATTGACATTTAATAAGCAGATGAGACTTCGTGGTAAGGATAGCATCGCTTACTCGACAGTAGCAATTTACAAGTTTCACTGAAAAACACCCCTCTTCAATAAATGACTACCACTATAATTTATAATTCCACAACTTTCACCAATTTTTTACTGAAATTTATCTCTGGTTTTTTTTTTTTTTTGTTTGGTGTTCATGTTCTTTGGTACTCTCAAATTCTCATCAATGAGAGTTGGCTTGCTTTTAAATGAAAAAAACAATCAATCATGTTTTGAATTCCCCAATTCTGTAAAAAAAAAAAAAAAAAAACCAGTCCAAAAGAACAAACCACGAAAAAACATAAAACATCTCCCCCAATAAATAAATAAATAAATAAACATTTAATCACTTCAAATCCATACCACAGTACAATAATTAGACAAACCCAAAAACATGCAAACAATCCTTGGCAAAATATCCCCAAAAACACAGAGCTTTTCATTCATTGGAACAATTCTAGCATGAAGTTCAGAGACATTCAAAGATTACAATGGTCCATTTTTCTCATCCTTCAATTACTCTGCACAGCAAAAAAAATAAAATAAAACAAACCCTAGAACCAAAACTACATACAGAGGAAATGAGGAGGTAACAAGATAGTAGAGGAAATAATCTAAGCAGCAGCCTTCTTGGGAGACTTTGTGGCTTTGGATGGAGACTTGGGTTCCTTGCCAGCCTTCTCAGTCTTTTTGGGCAAGAGAATTGGGTTGATATTTGGGAGGACTCCACCATGAGCAATGGTCACACCAGAAAGCAACTTTCCAAGCTCTTCATCGTTCCTCACTGCCAACAGAACATGCCTTGGGATGATCCTGTTCTTTTTGTTGTCCCGGGCAGCATTTCCAGCCAATTCCAAAACCTGTAACCAAACAATCATTCTTAGAGGAAGATCAACAAACCCTAAATTCAAAAGGGGAAAACCATAACATTTTCTCAGTAAACAATCAGGGGTCAAAAACAAAAATAGGAATGTAGGAAACATCAATAAGTTGATTCAGGTAGAAGCTTTTTCCCTTAGATCAAAGTTTCAAGCTTTAAAATTAATAAACACTAAATCCTTTAAATAAGGAAATGAAATCATTTTCTTTCTCATCTAATCTGGAAATAACTCAATTTTTAAAAAGAAAATTTGCCAAATTGGATCGTAAAAGAATAATTCTTATATAACTGATATTAAGAGAAGGCAGAACAACATAAGATCAAACCAGACTTAAATCACAGATCTGAAGTCCAAAACACATGGATATAGATTATTACATACACAGATACAATACAGAGAGAGATGGAGAAAACTTTACCTCTGCCGCTAGGTATTCAAGCACGGCGGCCATATAAACCGGAGCGCCGGTTCCGACACGTTGCGCATACCGTCCCTTCTTCAGGTAGCGACCTATCCTGCCGACCGGGAATTGCAGACCGGCCTTGACAGACCGGGTAACCGGCTTCTTCCTTGGGCCACCTCCCTTCCTTCCACCGGCTCCTTTCTTCTCCATCTCTCAACTCACTTTCTCTCTCTATATAGATATATAATATATAAATCTAGCTCTGATCTAATTGTCCGAGCAAACCTTGCGGATGATTATGGGCTGTGTAGGCACGCTTTTATAAAGCGGTCTTGGGCACACCTGGTTTGTTTGGCGATTTAATCTGATTCGTTCATAGATGATTTATCAACGGTGCAGGATGATCGTTGTCACAATCCGTGTAGTTCAAAATGGACTAATCAGAATGAAGGTAGATAATGAATATTGCCATGTCATCAAACTTTTTCCCGCCGGAAATTTTCAATCATATTCAAAAAGTTACGGGCACACTTTCTGAGTGTGCTCGCGGCAACGATTTGCTTGCATAAAATACTCATTTTTTTTTGGCAATTTTAATTAAATTCTTTTGGGATTTAAAATTAGAATTGGTAAAAAAATTAGATTGTAGTAATTAGAAAGACATTCTAATTGTAAGTTTGGAATAAACCAGAATTTGTAAAGTAAAAAAAAAAAATGAAATGAAACAAATTTTGTTCATTTTACAATCAAGGAGTCCTGGTAGAAGAATAATTTTGGCAAGTTAAAAAACTAATATGACCCATATGAGAGATAAGCGCTGGTTATCAAAATTCTATCAAATTTTCGAGAATTCCTTCAAATTCATTCTCTTTTAAAATTCCATAGTTCCAAACAAGTGAAAATCCCATGGTCTGCTAAAATTTTGAAGGGCAATCTCGAATCAAAAACCCTAATATATTATCTCAGATTCACTATAAATTTGAGGAACAAATTTCATATTCGAAACTTTGAGACACAATCTCAATTCCATAATTTTGAAATAACCTTTTAGCTAAAGCCCTTAGGGTGTGTTTGGATAGTATTAGTTATGAGAGAAAAGAAAAGAAAAGAAAGGATAGTATTAGTGAGAAAAGAAAAGAAAAGAAAAGAAAAGAAAGAATAGTAATAATTTCTATTTGTGTTTGGATAGACAGGGGAGAAAAGAAAAGAAGTGATAGTTATTTTTGTTTGGATAAGATAGAGAAGAGAAAAGAAAAGAAATGATAATAGACAAATTACTTTTTTACCCTTTCATAACCATGGGACTTGGATGGAATAATAAATCTGTGTATTGATTTGTGGAGGCTAATTTTGGTATTATCAAAATACCACTAAAATCACTATCCTTTCTCTCACTATCTCTCCCTATCTTCTCAATTTTGAGGAGAAAGCAAATAAGAGATAAGGAGGGATAGCTATCCCTCCCTATCTCTCCTTATCCCTCCCTATCCCTCCACTTAAGTTACCCAAACACAAACTTACACTATCCTCTCTTTTCTTTTCTCTCCCTATCCCTCCAAATCAACCCTACCAAACACACCCTTAGAGACTCTCAGAGGATATATTGACTAACAATAACAGAAGGTACAAAAAGAGTAACCACATTTAAGGAGGGTTTGGCTAAACCCTATTCCATTCCGTTAGAAATTATGTCATACCAACCCTGCTCTTACTCCAAGAAGGGTTTGTAATTGGCATACCATTCACACCCCTACTCTGGAAACACAAAGTACTAACTCTGTTTCGCGTACTCCATTTAATTATGGGGTGAATCTCATTTAGGGAGCTACCAAATCTTTCCCATTAGGGACGAGGTGGGGCAAAAACCCACTGGGTGAGAGGAAATTGCCATCCCTAACTACATCCTCCCCGCCATTGAATGAGATATATAATTATTAGGATTTGGAAGATAAAAAAATCCAAGATTCACTTGAGATACTCAAGCACTAGGCAAACTAAAGGAATGGTGATTATATCTAATAAAGTCAGAATCAATACTAAACGCATTTAATGTTTTACCCATGTTATCAAATGTCCAACCACCATCATTTATGTTAGATTACAAATTTATCCCTTTACCTACCACGTACATTTTTTATATATTATAAATTACCATATATGATTACACATGTCATATTATTATCTATAGGACCTTTATTTAATATTCATTAATTCAATAAAATATAATATTTTCCCATTCATTTATTTCTAATATGGTATCAGAGCTTTTCCATCATTGGTAAAAAGTCTTAATTAGTTTATTGTAGTCACCGTTGGGGATGGCACCACCAGCCCCATCCCACCTTCAAACTTATGCTTCTACATCCCAACCTCCAATCTCAAGTACATAATTAGCAAAAGCCTTATTTAGTCACCCAATCATCCTCCAAGACACATCATCGCAGTTTCACGACAATAGTGCCATTATTCCGCCTCATAAATGCTTCATCCTCAAACACAGTCAACAGCGGTGCTAGCAGTAGTACGTCACCTACCACGACATTTGCCACACAACCAGCAGCGATGCCAACAGTAGTGTCATGTCATTTGCCACGATAGCTGCCACGTCAAACACAATCAGCAAATGTGCCAACAGTAGTGATACGTCAAAGCCTGAATATATAAATGTCCTCCATCATACAGATTCTTCATACTCCCACCTTCAAACTTATGCTTCCGTATCCCAACCTCCAATCTCAAGTTCATAATTAGCAAAAACCTTATTTAGCCACCCAATCATCCTCTAAGACATATCATCACAGTTTCACGACAATAGTGCCATTATTCCGCCTCATAAATGCTTCATCCTCAAACACAGTCAACAGTGGTGCCAACAATAGTGCGTCACCTACCACGACATTTGCCACACAACCAGCAGCGGTGCCAACACGTCACTTGCCACGATAGCTGCCACGTCAAACACAATCAGTAACTGTGCCAACAGTAGTGACACGCCAGTTGTTAACCGTACCTCCATTTGCATCATAAATGAAAACCTATCTCTACCAAATTCCAGTCAGGCTACTTTCATGATCTTACCTTCAATCTTAAGTTGGTTTCATACTCACCTTGAGTTTGAGGGGGGTTATTAGATTATAAGTTTACCACTTTACCTACTACCTAGGTTTCTTGCATATTACAAATTATCATATATGATTACACATACCATATTACTATTTATAAGTTACTTGTTCATCATTCACCTATCCCCAAACGTTATCTTACATATAGGACATTTATATAATCTTCATTAATTCAATATAATATAATATATTTCCATTCTTTTATTTTTAACAGTTTAAATTACTCTAAACCATGATGACTAGAGTAATGATAACTTAAGCGTTTGGATCCTTAGGTAATACCAACTCCTCCAACGCATTTTTGGTTTTCTTCTTCTTATTCTGCTTCCAACTCATCTTTCTGAGTGCCTCGTATTTGTGTGTAATATCCTTCAATTATTATTATTTATGATTTGTTCGGTAGGTAGTAATGAAGAAGTATGAAGGGAAGACAAGAAAAAAAGGAAATAAACTTTCTCTGTTCGATAGAGATGAGACAATGACATAAAATATAATAGGAGGGATGAGTCACCATTCTTCCTTTACAAAATTTTATCAATCCAAATATGGGCGGAAGAGATAAGGGAAAACAAGTGGGACTATTATAAAAGTTTTGAATTATAATATTATTATAAATTATACAAGTTTTAAATTACAATTCTATCTTATATGAATTACAATATTAGACGATGATAGGTATAATAGTAAAAATAATTTAAAACTCTTTATTCCCTTCTCTCATAACGAACACAGTAAATTGTGAGTTTATTATCTTGTATTCAATCAAACTGAACAAAAAGATGAAATGAGAAAATATTTTCTCTAGGGATGTTTTGTCCACTCATTCTTCTATACTTTCCATCCAAAATTTGTATTTCCTACAAATGAAGTATTAATATTCCATCCAGTAAAGAATCCACAGTAAACAAGTAAATTTTTACTTGTTAATTCATTTCGACACCAAAAAAAAAAAAAAAAAAATTGATTGCATAATTAATGCATTGTTTGGATTTGGGGAATTAAAAGGAAAAGAAAATAAGGAGTAAATGAGAATGAGAAATTAATTAACTTGTGTTGGTTTAAAAAATGAGGGAAAGAAGAGGATTGAAAAGGAAAGTGAGGGATAGCCCTTTGAATAGTGTTTTGGCTATCTAACCCAATGTGGGATGATTTTGAAGGAGATGACTTAGTAATTTTACATCTATTTTTTATTATTAACTTTTTTAAAAAAAATAACTTTTTTATTTGCCTTAAGAATGTCAATTTAAGCAAGTTTATAAAATGAGTCAAAAACTTGAACTCATCTCGACGTATTAATATATGATCCATTATTACCTAATGTCCTTTTTTTCGATAGTCTAGGTGTCCGGGGTTTTGCCTCAACTAATCTACATGATCCGTATAAGGTGCCTCCCACACGGATCAGATAAAGCTCGGGCAATATCTGCGGGCGTGGTCTCTAAAGACCTGATGCTTCATATAGCACCACAACTTAAGTCTTTTCCAACTAGACCACCTCTTCGGGGTTACCTAATGTGTAATACCCCGATATTTTAAAGGAATTATTAATGGAAATTAATTACTTTTATTTTTATTTTAAATGATTTATTTGATTTAATTTGAATTAATTGTATTTTTTTTTTTTTGATTTGTTTTATTGAGTGCTTAGATTAATTATTTTATTTATTTATATTTTGTGAATTATTGGTAGGATGATTGATTGTTTGTGTACTTAATTATTGATTGAATCGTTGACGTGTTGTTATGATGTGACTTAGTTGTACATTCTTATTTGTTTATATGCTTCATGTAATTAGTTATTTTAATTTAAGTGTTTATTTAATTATTGTATTTATTTAAATTAATTGGATTGAGCTTAAGGAAAGTTGGACCAAAGGATATGGTATTGGGCTGGGATGAAGCCTAGTTGGGTTAATTAATAAAGGCCCATGGTTATATGATTATTTAAAATTATCATTTTTGTATAATTATAAATGTATATATTTAATTATATATAAATATAATTAATTAATAAGTGTTACGGAATGATTTATAATTATAGATATATATATATATATATATATATATATATATAGAATTTATGATTTAATTAACTAATGGTTAATTATGGGAGATATATATGTATATGTAATATAATATATATTTATATATATTATATTATTTAAAAAGTATTATTTT